CAAGACCCGGCAAGTGATTCTCAGCTTTGTCAGAAAAAAACGAACATTTTATTCTTTGTGGCTTTTATAACCTTAAAGTTAAAGCTGAAAACTGTGAACTTACGATGACTAGGCCAAGAGGAACTAATTCAGTGAGTGTTTTATAGCTTCTAGTACTCGGATCCATCTCCATGTCTAGATTCGAAAGCACAGCAGCCAATGCAAGAACCGAAAGTCCCGAAGCAAGAAGAAGGATTTCTCTAAAGCCCAATTCAGTTCCGGGCTTAAATCCGAATATGAACGGGTAATTCACTCGAAAACGCCTCCAAAGGTACGTATTCCATCCATACATGATCATGTGAAGGACAATAAAACCGAACAAGCTGAGCCCAAGTAGAAAAAAAAAAATAATAATAATAATTTAATGAACTCAAAAAAAATTTAAACATTTTTTAAGCTAGTTAAAAAGAATCTTTATTTATACCTATAGAGTGGGAATATGTTCTCCATGTAGGGCCCACGCCCCTCGTGATTCAGAAGGTTGCGGGCGTGTATCGAGACGATAATGGCAGCAATTAGCGCTATCGAGCAGCCGGTAAATAAACCTTACAAGAAAAAATCGGGTTTGATAAAAATTGAGTCTTTTTTTTGTAAAAAAAAAAAGAAAAATGAAATGAACCTTATTAGTGAAGAATATGAAAGCACGGGAGCCACAGATAATGGTTTATAACGAAATCGATTATTTAGGGTCAATTTTTTTTCAGGTGTTTACATTTTGAACGAAAAGGCGCAATTTTGCTTAGGATGATGAGGTTTACTTACCAAGGAAAAATGTTACTCTGTGTCTCTCCTTTTTATGTCCAGGCTTCAAAGATTTTATTCCTTTTCTTCGGTTGCCGTTTGAGAAGTGCTTGATGAATGTGGATTCGAGTCTCTCTATGAGCTTATTGACCTGAAAATTTATTTACACCTTCTTGAATATAAAACTCGTAGAATAGATGTTAAAGAAAAAAAAAAATAGCATGTTTAACAGTATAAAGTTACAAACCTCATCAGAGCTGCCAAGATAAGACTTATCAACCATCTCTAAATAAGAAAAAAAAAAAAAAGAAAAATTGTTACTTAATCATGTTATGTAAAAAGTAAAAACTTCAGTTAAATAAACAAGAATCGAACTACCTTGTCATATTTCTTCATTATCTTGGAAAATGCAAGCATATTCAAGAAACTGACAGACAATGGACAAAAATGCATATTAGTTAAGAGGGAGTTTTCTTTAATTTTGTATCATTTTTTTTTTTGAATTTTACCAGTAGCTTTTCAAAAGTCGAAGTTGTTGGTAAAATTCAATGAAGGCCTTTCTCAAATTTTCCTCTGCTTTCCTAAGCTCCTCCTTACTGAATGACAGCTCAGATCTCGAGCTCATAATGATGTTTTTCATAGTCGAGACTGGCGATTCGGGATCAACATTGATTTTCACGTGATCCAAAACTTTCAAAGAAGCTGGCTTGAATTCCATGTTATCCTTCTTCTTTTTATCGGCTTCATCAATAGTCATCTCTACTTCATGAATTACATCCATGTGTGAAACTCCTTCATATTCAAGAAAAAAAAAACACGCAAAAATCGAGAATTATAAGAACTTATTTACCAAGAACAAAAGGCTTGTCCAACACTAAAAGCACAAACAAGCACATTCTCAAGCACCAAGCAAGAAACTGCAACTCTTTTTTTTTAACAAATCTATTTCATTTCACATTTTTGTATTTATGAGCCGATTTTCACGTTTCATCACAGACGAAACATAGGATCAGATTTTCGTGTGTTCACGTCACATCCCTTATTTTATTTTATTTTTTTTCCCACTTTATTCTTTTTTGGGCACTTAAAGTGAAAGCTTTGATTCAACCCTCTGTGTTTGCACATAACATAAAGAGCTCCAAAAGGCCAAAGACCCAATATTACCCACAGATTTCCCATTATCTATAGTTTATCTTCAAGAACCAAACCAAAGAGAAATATAAAAATCATTATGAAACAGAAAAAGAAAAAAAAAAAAANAAAAAATGACAAACAACCAAACCAAGCAAACCTTGCTTTTCTAACAAATCTAGAAGAGGGATTTTATTACATATTCGCGGAAAGGTATTGAACTTTAGTCAAGAAACACAGACCAGATCAGCTATTTCATTTTGTATTTGTATTTACATGCGGATTTTTTCACGTTCATCACAGACTAAAAACATATGATCAGATGAACAGAGAAAAATGCCACTTCTGTATGAATTAGGTATCCATATCCCTTCTTCTATTTTTTCACTTTCTTCTAGTTGAGCCCCTCAGAGGTGAAAATTCTGATTCAATCATCTGTTAATGCACATAATCAAGAAAATGTTTTCTCAGCATAATAAAAACTCCAACGGGGCGGACCAAAACCCATTCCCCCACATATTTTTTGCATTATCCATCATTCATTTTCAGGGACCAAACCAAGAAATGAAAAATATCACAACACAACCAATGACAAAACAAGCAAACCAGAAGTTATGTAGACTTAAAGAGAGCAAACAAACAAACAAACCTTGTTTTTCTCCATTAACAGATGCAATAACAGTAGCAGGGCTCGAACTTCCATAATCAGCTCTCGAGTCCAAACGATTAGGCCTATCAACTCTGATTCTAAGGGCAATAAGCGCATCCATTTGCTTGCTCAGTTCATCGGCTTCAATCTTCGCCTCCTCAACTTTTTTCTTATAAAATCCAACAACTTTATTAAATTCCTCATCGAGCTTTCGGAAAAAATGGAGCTCCTGCTGCCCGCCATCCTCAGACGACCTCAAAAACATCGTCTGGTAATGGTTTTCGGAGCCCTCGCCCACTAAAATCACTTCATCTTCCTTCTCATTGGGGCCGATTTTTCGAGCCGAAAGCCCGCTGAAGGCCCGGTACATGGTGAGTCTTCTCTTCAGAGAGCCTGACCGGGCCGGAAGGCCCGGATTCGACTGTAATGCTTTCTGCTGTCTGAATCTCAAGAGATCTTTGAGCTGATTTTTGAGGTGGGCGTAGTCCATGTATGCTCCCTGCCATTCTTGAACCATTTGGGAAGCTAGCTCTTTTCCAAACTTCATTTTTGTACAGTCTTTTGCAATAAAAATCCAATCTTTACAATAAAAATGCAATCTTTTTTATTTTTTTCAGGAGCTCTTGGAATGCGGTATAGTGGGATTTCTGAAAATGTGAAAATCTGACACAGAAGGAGAAAAAAATGTATATTTTGNAAAAAAAAAAAAAAAAAAGAAGAAGAAGAAGACAGCGTCTTTACAGTTTATTTGTTTGCTAGTCCATGTTCAAATAAATATTTCCAGTTCAATCAAGAATGAAGAAAGTTCGCTTGAATGAGGACCAAACGTGCTTGAAGTATGAAGATTTCAACAGATCAGATGGCTTGGTCTCCATATATGTAATACAATTTTATTTTAGTTGATTTGTTCATCTAATTTTGTTATAAATAATAGTAAATAATCACTATTTCAATTCACACCAATTATGACTAAAGTTAACCTTTAATTTCCCACCTGCTCCTTTCTTTTTTCCCCTATCATTGATTCATTGTTAGTACCAATATTATTTTTATGACTTGGTTTCATATGCGTGTATTGGCAATTTTTTGGCCTCTCTACATCAATGCACCTACTTATAATTAAGTTAATTATAATAAATATAGTTTGTTTTTCAATGAAATTTGATGGTTGTACATAAGAAAATTTTTAGTGTTTGACAGCACGAGAACCTTCAAGAGCTAATTCATATATGTAACTTGATATTATTTATTATTATTATTATTTGAATACTCAACTTGACATTGATGTCATTTCGTTTGCTTTAGTAGATAAGGGGATTTGGTTTTAATTGAATGAAACTAACCAAGCTCAAGCTTTATTGAGGTGAGCCGGNGATAAGAAGAAGTTTTGTTATAATATTTTATTATTCAACTCGTTAAAGCTCGAGTCGAACTTATTAATATTGATAATCGAGTTTAACTATGAAAAATTATCAAAATTCATATTTTGAGCATTAACTATATCTAAACGAGCTCGATCAAACAACTTGAGTTTATCGAGCTCACAAGCAGTTTGTTTAAAAACTATAGCCATGACCTTTTTCTAAATCACAAATTATTGTGTGAAACAGTATAATTATTGAGCTCACAAGCAGTTTGTTTAAAAACTATAGCCATGACCTTTTTCTAAATCACAAATTATTGTGTGAAACAGTATAATTATTAGACAGATTGATCCGTCATACATTTTTAACAAATATTCATGATATCATGTTTTTATTAATGTTGTTTTGAAAGTAATACTGTAATACATATTTGAAAAAATATGAATGTCTTACTTTTCCTGTTTATCTTTCTACTTGATGAACTATTAGTTTGATACCTAATATTTTGTTATTTAAAATGTTCTCTCATACCATTTTAAAAATTAAATTATGACCATGTCAAATTTATGCCTACGTGATCAATTTGATGTCTCTGGAGAAACCAAATTGATTTTGAAACATGATATAGTTTTTTTAAACTGTTTTCCCTTTCATTATTTCACTATGCATTTGTCATGTTGAATATATTTAGAACTTGTCAATGCTAATTTATGCAATAATTGACGATATTCATATTCAAATGCGGGCATCTGAACGAATTTTATATGATAGTTGCCGAACGTTTAATGCATAAGTAATGTATTAGAGAAATCATACGTACAGTTATGTGGACACGAAGCAGCCAAATTCAAGTCCACTTATGTCTTTGCCAGCTTGGAAGAATAAAGAAATATCTACCATAAAATATTACTAATCACAATTTAGAAAAGCTGGAAAATTTGATATGATTCAATTCTTCTGTCACTTCCATTATATGATTATTGCTGTTATTCACATAGTTATATTTGCAGGGCCTACAAGTTTAACATATATATGCTCTATTTGTTTCTTGATGTTTTTCCGTACTTCTTTGGCTTATTTGAGGGTTTATATAAGTATTAAGAATCACGAATTGAACGGCTCGTGAGCTGTTGCATTGGCTCGAGTCATTCATGCCTTGAATCAAGCTTGAGTTTGACCGGGTTCAATTCAAATTCGAACTCAGAGGACTCAAATATACGTATTGGTAATAATGATTCATTTGATTGGGCATACATGATTAGACCTATAAACAAGCCGATTTCGAGTTCAAACTCTTCGAGCTCGAGCCCTTAATGAGTCAAGTCCAACTCGACTCATTAGGTAAATGAACCCGAAATAGAACTCAAGCTTGTTTGTCAATACAAGTCCAGTTTGAACCTTAACGAATCAATCTCAAGCATTTACAAGTTGAACTATAAAAAATTTGTATAAAATAAAAATTTTCTTTTCGAACCTTATAGCGTCAAATGGAGCTCAACTGGTTAACGAAATGAGCTTTAAGAGAGTTGAACTCAATTCGATCATCAAACAAGTAGAATTGAACTCAAGCTTTAACGAGCCGAACTCGTGCTCTATAAATGATACACCCTTATTTCAATAAACATTATATTAATTGAATATTTAACACAATTCCATCCCAGAATAAACATCTCATTCCTCAATTTCCCATAAAAAATGGATGCACACACACACAAACATAACATATATAAGNCAAATATTTAATTTAACACATCATCAGCCCAAATCTTTTGTCACACAAGCCAGTTCATAGTAAAAACTAAAAACATCACAATATCCCCAGAAATCTGGGGTTTACTAAAACCAAAATAAAACTTTCACAATCACTGTCAATGGCTACATAGGCCACTCGAGAAGTTTCTGGCTACATAGGCCACTCGAGAAGTTTCTTTTTTATTTCAAGCATACGACTTAGGGAACCATTATGCGACAGAACACAAAAGGAAACAAACTCCAAACCAGAAGAAAAGATAACCAAAAAAAAAACAGCACACCAACTCTTTATTTAGTAATGAGGCAAAGAACTTAATCAGTCGACTTAATCATCATAGTGCTTGCGGTGGTGGTGGTGCTTATGACGATGCTTCTTCTTCTCTTCATCATCGTCATCATCATCAGATTTATCATCTCCCTGCATCATTCACTATTGAATTAGAACTAGGGATCACAAAAAAATTAGAAGTTTCGAACCATGTTTATAGGAAAAAAACATATTATCCTATTAAGCACTACCACAGACCAAAATATAATACTAAACAAGAATCCTAAGCAAGAAAAACTCGTCACAGGATTTCAATTTCTGATACTCACAAGCAAGAAACAAATTATGTATTGACCTTCCATTGCTAGCAAAGCAGACAATTGCCAGCACTTTTACTACATGTCATTCAATCCATATCTTCTATCAAACTTGATTTACGAGCTGGATTACTACTTCACAAATAATCAGCTCTATAATAATTAATAACGTGGTGATTTTGCAACTAAAGTTGTCGTCCTCATTACCTCATCAGTCATCATTACCTCATCAGTCAACACTAATTCATCCAACACGTAATAAAATCCAAACTTGCAATTCAACAACATTTGGGATCGACAGTGAAACCAATTAAAAGGCTCTTCCATCAACACCAAATAATTTTACAGCCTCAAACAAATTATAAAAGTTAATAAGTGAAATTAGGAAAGGCTCACATATTTCTTGCGGCCATAGCTCTCATCATCATCATCACGCGTCTCATAGCGTGGCTTCCTGTAATCCTCCTCCTCAGACCTCCCATAGCTGGGCCTCTGGTACTCCTCAGTCTCATAGCTGGGCCGCTCGTAGCTGGGCTTCTCCTCCCCGTATTCGCTTCTATCAGGCCTCCGTCCAGATCCATAACCTCCACCAGACCCGTATTCCTCGGATTCGGGCTTCCTGCCATATCCGGATCCGTATTCAGATCTGCCATATTCAGGCTCAGATTTCCTCCCATAACCCGATCCATACTCCGAGGTGGGCTCCTCGTACTCATTCTTCCGGCCATAACCTGATTCGTACTCAGGTTTCCTACCATACCCTGATCCATACTCAGAGCTGGGTACTTCATATTCTGGCTTCGTTCCGTACCCGGATCCATACTCAGATTCGGATTTCTCGTACTGGGGCTTTCTTCCGTACCCGGATCCATACTCAGATTCCGGTTCCCCATACTCCGCCTTCCTACCGTACCCTCCAGATCCGTATTCAGATTCGGGCTTCCTACCATATCCGCCAGATCCATATTCGGATCCGCCGCCAGCTCCGTATTCTGATTCGGGCTTCCTACCATACCCGCCAGATCCATATTCGGATCCGCCTCCAGCTCCGTATTCGGATTCGGGCTTCCGACCGTACCCGCCAGATCCATATTGAGATCCGCCCTCGCCGCCGTACCCGGGGTTGGGCTGATCGTATGAAGGGCGGGCGGGTCGGGGCTTGGGGCGGGCGTAGCTCTTGTACTCATTGTCGAGGGCCTCGTCGGCGTAGGCGGAGGGCTCGGCGTAGGAGGTGTACTGGGGGCGGTCGTAGTCGAAGTCATCGGATGTGGAGGAGGTGTTGGGGTAGCAGATCTCGTCGGAGGGGGGGAGGGGCCGGCCGTAGACGAGGGAGATGTCGTAGCCGCCGCCGTAGGGGGTTGGGTCGTACTCGTCGAAGTCGTCGACCTCGTCGGCGGAGTCGTGGTGGCCCTTGGGGAAGTAAGACATGGTTTGATCGGAAAATGGAAAAGCTTGTGATCCGTGTGTGAGAAAATGAGATACGCGAGGGTGAAGATGATTGACCCAAGATACCTGATTTATACAGTTGTTTTTACCGTTTTACAGTAATACCCTTGAACCTGAGGTTTATTACTAATTTACCTTACACGTGGGCGAAGATGGCAGAATGTCGATGCGGAGAATTTGGGTGTATATGTAATTTCACGCGTATGGATATTTTTGGAGATGCCATCGGACGGCTGAGATTGATTAGAGGACGATGTGGGGCTATCAGGCATATCAATGATTGTTTTGGATAGGGCTATCGAGAAGGAGTAATGCTATAGGTACATAATAATTTTTTCTTTTTTTTCGGTACAATGAAGGAGGCCAATAGCGTAGAACTTAGTTAGGCTAGGGTGCGCCGAGGGTAAGATACCCCCATAAGATCATGATCCAACCATTGCCCTAACCCATCAGGAGGATCCGACACACGCTGTAAACCAACCGAGGATGAAGTTGTCAAACTCGCCATATAATCCGCTGCAAAGTTAGCTTCTCTATGCACATGGTGGAGGCTCACACTTCAGTTATTCTGAATCATGCTACGGATGGCTCGTACTATCGACGTATGTACCCCGAATTCTTCATCAGTACCCAGAACCATATTCTTCACACACAGGCTATCCACTTCTGCTATAACCTGGCGGTACCTAAGTCCCAAGCCAGTTGCAGTCCCTGAAATAATCCCCACAATTCGGCACCCGTGATGGTACAAAATCCTATGTTCATGAGGAACCCCGCGATCCATTTACCGACTTCGTTTCTAAGGAGTCCTCCCGCACTACCCATGCCAGTGGATTTGCCAAATGCCCCGTCTGTATTCACTTTTATCCATCCCGGAGCAGGTGTAGCCCAATGTATTATAATAATGTATGTACACAACACTTACATTGAGTGAGTTCTACCAAAAATAAAAAATTAAGTGGATCCCACTCTATATGAGTGTTATGTACACCACTATGTACATTTATTATATACTTGTAGCATTTTTCCTCAGAGAATACCTAAGTAAAAATAATTGTTGATGATTTTATTTTTTCTAACAAGAATAAAAAAAATATTTGATATGGAGATTTTATAACTATCGAAATATCGAAACTGAATTATAACATTAAATGTGCCTTGTTATAGGTATGTATATCACTCGATTTGTCTCGTCTGACATTATGATTTTATAATGATAATTTTAAGTCGACTCGGTTGACGAGTTCATTTCGAGTCTTTATAAAATCAAGTCAAGTCAGGTCGAGATTATTTATTAATTAAATAAGCTCGCGCTCGAGTTCAACCCGTTCATTCATATAAACAAACTAAATTCAATCTTTGACGAGTCGACTTAAGCTTAGAATTTATGAACTTACATAAATTTTTTATATTATCCAGTCGAATCGAACTTAATTCATTCATTAAATGAGTTGTAAACGAATTTGTGCTCTAGTCATTTATCGAACGGGTCGAGTTTAACTCGAGTCATAACTAATTTAGCAACATTCCAACTAGATGTGGCCACGGGTCGAACTGGCCTGTAACCGACCCAGTCAGGCCTGTTGACCATTGGCCTTGAACTGCCCCGTGGTTTTACCTAGGCCAATTCAGATTCGACCATCTTTAAAAATTCAATCGCTGGTAAAAATTACGATAGCAGTAGAATCATAATCGAGTTATTTGTCTATCATATAATAGTATAAATTACAATGTACTAGTGGTTTGTAAGAAACTTGTCCAACCGTGTGTTTCAAGAAGTATCCTCAACTTTTTTTATAAGATAGTTACAAAAACAATGAGAGTTTTGTGCTAATTGCAAGTTTCATATAGTTTTACAATTTTCAAATATCCAACGAGATTGTATTTAGCTGTCAAATATCATCCTCTCAAGGATGCAATATGATATGGGTCGTCTAAGTAGCTCAATGGACCAAAGGAGTTAAAGTTGCTCGTGGCTCGATGACGCAAACTTCAAGGTGACCTAAGTAAGAATTAGAGACAATTTGAGTGGAGATCAATCTTTATTAAAGCTAACGAACTCTAACGAGCTCAGTCGAGTTTGACTCATTTGAGCCTTAACAAGCCAAATCAAGTTCACGACCAAGTTCTGAGTGGAGATCAATCTTTATTAAGCCTAACGAATCCTAATGAGTTCAATCGAGTTTGGTTCATTCGAGCCTTAACGAGCCAGACCAAGTTCATGAATAGTTTATTTCTTTTATAAATCTTGTTCCAATTTCAATTTCAGTTCGATTCTATTGAATAAATGACACGTGGTACACGTCATCACGACAATCACACTCCATTTATCCAACCGAATTAAAATATGCATTGGAACATCCTTAGCCACTAATAACTTGCCACGTCAGATGAAAATTTTTGGAAAAAGGCTACTGCTAAATTAGACTCATCTCATTCGTTGCTACTCCTTTTCACCAGCCTCAAAATTTTCATGCTCAGGAAAAAAAGGGGAAAAAAACAAAAGAAAAATGTCCCAAACCTATACAAGCTGAGAATGGGGCAGCTCGCGGCGGCGCCACCGTGCCGCACCACCTTCTTACCCGTCGTCGCTATGTCGAAACTCCAGAGATACCCGCTTGATTCGACCCGTAAATGGCATTGCCGGAGATTGAGGCTGCCATTGACTGCAAAAGCTCAGATGGTGAATCAATCCACATACTCGTCCAGAATTTCCACAGATATTCCTCTCTACGAAACTCCCGAGGTAAAATTTTCTCTAGTTGATGCATTAATTATTGGTTTTTTTTCTTGGTGAGTTTGATTATCGATTATAGGGTTTAATTTGGGAGGTTTTTTTGAATTCTGGAAAAGGCAGGCCTCGTTTGATCAGTATTTGGAGAATAAGCCCAGGGTTTTCAAAGCAATATTTCCCGATAAACGCCGGAGCCAGCAGCTTAATGAGGTTGACTTTGTGTTTTCTTACTTAGCTCTTTTGCGGCTTGTTTTACTTTTACAGTTAGCTTTGCTTCCACCATAGTTGCTAGCCTGCTACACGCTTGAGAATAAAGGAGAAGATGGTAAAATAGATTTTATACTTTAGAAGGCAGAGATTATTCAATTCGCTCGGCTGACCTCCTCACTTCGAGTCAGGAGCGTATTTTGTTGAATTATAATACAATCGAGTATAAATTTAATGTATATATTGTTTAATTAGCATTCTAAGCTGCTGTCATTATCACGTGACACATTCTCAAACGAGTTTTTAATGCAAATTCAAGAATAATTTCACCTACAGAACTAGAAGTAGTAGCGACGGCCAATGGAATTCGCTCCTTGATGAATGTGATGATCTTTGATGAAAAAATCAAGATTCCTTTGTAATTGATTACGAGTTAACTCTATAATAAGGAAAAAAAAAAAGGTTGTAAATCATGTCCTTGGAGCAAAAAGAACTTCCCTGGCTGTTGATCAAGCGGATTCTGATATACTCAAATGTGCTTCTTTGTCCCAACAACTAAATACTGCACTTCATATCCATATGCTATTATGTACTGAGCTTGAGCTTGTACTGAAATGCTTGCTTAGTTATGACTTATGACGTTTAGTAGAGATATGGATGCATGATATGATTCGTACATATGCCAGTGGCATTAAGAGCGTGTTTAGCAAGCACCATAAGCTAACTTATAGCTTATTTAGTTACCTATAAGTTTTTTGTATACAAATAAGCTTGGTTTGGTAGAACGCTTGAAAAGCTCAAGCGTCTCTATTAAGTTTTTTGGGTAGTTTTTCAAATAAGCCAGTTGAAGCGTTTATTTCAGCTGGTTTTACAAGAACTTTTATAATATTAGCTAGCTTTTCAGCCCTCAAGCTATTAGCTATAGCTGTAAGCTCGAAATTCACTTGTTTGTAAGTTAGCCGTGTTAATTTTGTGTTAGTTCCTTGTAGGAAAAGTGGAGGGTCCACATGCTACCCATAGAATTCCTATTCTTGACTGTTTCGCCAGTAATCGACATGAGGTTAAGGTGTAGAACTCAGGGGATGGGATACCCACAGGGAGTCCCTCGCGATATTACAAAGGTCTTAGAACTTGATATTGTAAGTAAAAACTAAAACCGCATGCGAAAAATCTCTCCTTTACATGTATCAAATTCTTTCCTCTTCCTTATTATTTTTCTTTGTTTTTCTTTTTCCTTTAAAAACAACATTTTTTATTTATTTATTTATTTCTTGTTGTGATGCCAGGTCAGATGGGAGCTTCAGGGCTTAGATGATATGCTCAAACCATCTCAATTTTCCCTTGGTGTAAAAGGGGCTCTTTATCCAGATAGGCGTGGTCCACGAACAAGACTCAAGGGTCAACTACAGATGAGCATAACCTTTGTTCTCCCTCCTGTACTTGCTTTGATTCCTGAAGATGTTCGGCGTAATGTGGCAGAATCGGTTAGGATTCTCTCTCGGTCGAGCATCATGAGAGTTAACTGTAGACTTTTTTAAACAACTTCTTTTGTTCTTTTTTTTTGGTGGAAGTTAGGTTCTTAAGAGACTGGTGGAGAACATGAAAGCCAAAGTAAATGGCAGCTTGATTGCGGACTACAGCGAATTCAAAAAGGAAAGGTCAAAGGCTTTAGCATGAAACCAATCAGCACATAAAGTTTCGAACAGCCAAATCGTGGATACTTTCTGTTCCGGGACTTGTATATTTGATTAAGCTTTTATAGAGTGCTGAATAGAACCATGTCATGTATAAATTACTGGTTGGGTTGTACATGAAGACGTTCTCTGTTTGCTGTTGTTCATAAGTCCTAAGTCAAAACCACTTTCCCTTTTTTTAATTTTTTTTTTTCTGGCTAACAGAGCAAAACGTTGTTGTATTTGACTATTTTCCCCTTGTTTTATTAGGAAATCGAAACCAAGAAATGATGGCGGGTCTTCAGTTTACCTTATTGAATATTTAAATTTTTTATCTTAAATGCATATCACCATTTAAAAGAATACTATATATTACACGGATTGCTTTGCTGATATAAAATAACCTGCTCCATTAATTCATAATTACGGTGTGGAATTGTGAATGAGTTAATAAAATATAAGGTTCTGAAAATAAAGTGAAGTAAAAAAGGGGAAAAAAAAATGAAAATAAAGTGAAGTAAAAAAGGGGAAAAAAAATGGAGATGCGGGGGATCGAACCCCGTGCCTCTCGCATGCAAAGCGAGCGCTCTACCATTTGAGCTACATCCCCTGTTGATTTCATTGTTTCTCCATCATAGTTTGAAAATTCATTCACAAAATGTTCAAGAAAATAGAAAAACAGAGCAAGTTGGAAGCTCAGAGCAAAAAGAGGGAGAAAATCGGGCCGAATAATGGAGCCCCTCTACCCCATCCGCCGCCTCACCCCCACCGACATCCACCTCATCGAGGCCCGAATCGCCGCCAACGACCGCGAGATCCAAACTCTCCTCCGCGACAACCAGCGCCTCGCCGCCGCCCACGTCGCCCTCAAGCAGGACGCCGCCGCCGCACAGGACGACCTCCGCCGCGCATCCGCCGCCGCCGCCTCCGTCAAGGCTGACCGCGACGCCCGTGTCCGCGAGGTCTACGACCGCTCCCTCAAGCTCGAGGCCGAAGCCCGGCCCCTCGACGGGCTCGCCGCTGATCTGGGCCGCGTCCGGGCCGCAATCGAGGAGCTTCGGGCCGAACTCAAGGGCCGATTTGAAAATCTGAGGGCAATCGAGGGAGAGATCGCGGCGGCCCAGTCCGAGCTGCGGCGGGTGCCGGAGCTCCGGTCCGAGATCGAGTCGGCTCAGACGGAGATCCACCGAGGAAGAGAGGCTATTCAGCGCGAGAGTGAGATGCAGACGACCAACTTCCAGATCGATCGAGCTATGGAGAAGCATATGGTGGCGATGGCCCGCGAGGCTGAGAAGCTTCGATCTGAGCTTGCGGATGCGGAGAAGAGGGCCATGGCCATGGCTGCAGTTTCGGGTCTTAATCCGGGACCTGGATTTGATTTGATCAGATATTGAAAAGAAAGTTTGAATCTTTTTTTTTTCCTAATCAAGAAAATTCAGAAGGTAATTTTTATTAGCTTGATTGATTGTATCATATCACATTAGTTCAATCTGAAAACAATGTTCTGTTCTTTTCCTCTGTTTGGTTTTTCTGTATCAGAAATGTGTGCAGCTCTTTAGCTTTTCCTTTATGTGTGATCATTGCTTGAAAATTTGCAGCAATTTTGTTGATCTGAGACAAAAATTTGGTTAAGAATGAAATGAATAACAGAATCACATTACAGTATCATTCCCTGTCACCAGTAATCGGAACAACAACTAACACCATCCTTGAACAAGTTAATCCGACAATGTGTTCTATCCTCAACGCGAAAATGGTTAGCTTGCCAGTTTATATAAAAAAAAATCCCAGGTATTTTCTTGATTCATCTTGCTATAAGGTAAAGAATTAGCCGTGTCCGAATCCCTCAACCAAACATACATGTTTCCTAGTCCGGTTGTTCAAATGTTGACGACAATAAATTTTTAATGAATTTCCTATTGTAGCATTATGATGATTCAATCTGTCACCAGATTATGAAGTTATTGCAATTATTGGTTCGATTGTATGTTTTGAGTAGGCTGAGGAGGAGCAGAGGATATCTATCTATCTCGCTATATCAAGCAATCAAGGCCTGAGAATTTTCAGCATTCTTTTTACCATTTATTATTGTCATATTCCCGAACAGATGATAGCACAATTTATGAAATAAAAAAAGAAAAGAAAAAGAACAATACATGAGACCCCATATTCTTCTCAAAAACCAAGTCATAAACAAAACCATTAAGAATTGAAGATATAGAAACTCTCAAGACTCATTAATCATTACATAGAATCCTTGGGAGAAAACCCATTGGAAACTTTTCAGATTCACCTAACTTATTCCGAATTCACTGTAATAGTATACGTAAAAGTTCCCCTATGTTATCATGCAAAGAAGTGCCACAAAGTATCGTTCTCTCAAAATAGAATCCTGCAAAACAATACTAAAACCACAAACCCGCGCTTTCTCCATCCCACACAGCACAATAAAAACAATAAAAAACAACCAAAATCAATAATACCCTCCAAAACAACAGAGGCTCTCAAGCATTTAGCCTCTCCAAATTCAACTGGCTCGTGAACTTTCAAACTTTTCCCTCCACCCAAAAATTAGTATAATCTGCACACGAGCTGAATATCCTCAAGCTGCAGTTTCCTTGGTAGGAACAAGTACATTCTCATCAGGGATTGGGCTACAGCTGGCTTTCGCCTGTTTTTCCTGCAACTTATCCAATTCTTCACTCGGAAAAACTTGCGAATGCAAAGAAGGGTCAATGTTCTTCACGTGTATCCACGTCAGCTGCCAGAAGCTGTCATCACTCGGCACAAGGATCCCACTCGTCTTCATCACCAAAAGCGTGTTCTTTAGAAGCTCGGGGATTAGTTCGTGAATCTTTTCGCACCTTTTCCCTCTGAATCTCAACTTCATGTATCTCTCCATGCAACCGAGAAATTTCAACCACAGCTGGGAGAACGCGGCCGAACGCGAAAGCTCGACCAGAGATTGTAAAAATGTTTTCGACAAAAGTTTGAGCGAAAAGACCATGGAGCCCTCCATGCTGCGATGCTCTTTCGGCGTACTCTGCTGAGCTGCTGCTTCCGGAAGCTCGTCGAGCAAAGTGAAGATCACCAAATCGAAACACTGCAGCCACAAATCAACCGGTACGCGAATTCCATCCACGCCAGTTAAGCATCTCTGTAGAAGCAAAATCGCGTGATTTCTCACATCTTCTCTCTGATCCAAGCAAACTTTTCTCAGCCCTTGCACGAGTCTCATCCACATCTCGACTATGTCCCGAGACATTTTCAAAACAGCTTCCTCACCTCCAGCAGCTTCCTTCGTCTGGTAAAACCACGTCACGAGGCAGACAATCGAGCCTGACATTAGGTCAAGCGATTTCATTGACCGCTCGATTTTCCCTACTCTGGACTCGGCGAACTGCCTTGCGGCGTTAACGCAGAGCACGTAGTTTGCAGGCGAGAGGTGGGCCCCATCAGACATGATGTATGACAGAGTCTCGAAGCCGATCTCGGAAGCTTCCGGATGGCGGGCCGTGATCGAGAGAAGGGAAATAATCGTGCGCCAGCCCATGTGGGACCTTATCTGCATGGCGTTTGCCTTCACGAGGTGCATGACTTCTTGCGTGATGTGTTCGCAGTAAGCATCCGCCACGCGGGCGTCGAGTTTCAGCACGAGCTGCAGGGATTTCAAAAGCTCGTCGGTTAGATTCTCTTTGTAAGGAAGCAGGCGCTGGCATATGCGGAGGAGCCCGAAGATGGCTTTTTCGACTAAGGCACAGGGCATGAAGGTCGACTGGACGATGCTCGTTATGTGCTCGTAAACGTACTGCCACAGGAGCATGATCCTGTCGCGATTATTCAGAGTGATTGCAATCAGCAGCTCGAGACAAAATACGGCCGTGTTTTCATCTTCTGGGTAATTATAATTACTATTACTATTCACTTTCAGAGGATGTTCACCAGCTGAGACGAGAGCGCGGACGAGCTGCAATAAAGAATCCGCCTGCAGAAACTTGCTCTCGGCGAAAATGGTGTCTATGTGGCAATTTTGTATAATCTGCTGAGTACGCTGGCGCGCGGCAAGATGCTCCTCGGAGAATTGTGGCGCGGGTTCCTCGGCATCGAGAGACAACAGTAGACTAAAACGGCCCATGAGGCCTGACGATTTTCGGGAAGGAGTTGCCGCCGGAGGCTGATGAGATGCCGAAGAAGAATTAGCGGCCGATATTTTCACTTGATCGTTATTATCAGGGTCGTCAGTGGCGTCGCTCGGGAGACGGGCAGGCAAAAGGCCTATCCTCTGCAGGCTCAAGATGCAGTCGAGTATGTTCCTCCAGCCTGAACGGATTTGGTCACTGAACCGATTTGCGATGGTGAAAACCGCAACTGTCGCCAGCTTGGCTTTTGCGTCGTCCCCAAAATAAAGAACGGATCTTTCACCGAAAGATGGATGCAACAAAGTTGTGAATTTGCAGAGGGACACGACTAAGTCGTCGAGTACTTCTCCAGAGTTGTAAGAGGCTGCAAGTTTGGCTATGGCCAGAAAACCATCGATGCACGACTGAAGGGTATCCTCCTGCTCGGCATGATCAAACACCACGGATATGGCAGCGATTGCCGGACCAGAACAAATGGAAAACAGGTCATAGTCAAGGTGGGACCCACAGTCAGCAATAATGAACGGGCTCGTGTGTTTTGCTTTGTGTATCAGGCCAATCCAGTGGCTTCGGGTTAAGACAACAGCACTGCCGATTTGGTCCGGGACCATACGAATCTCGTTTTCACAGATGGAGTGGTAAAGCTTGGATAAGAAGTCACGAGGGAGATCTTCTCCGCCGTTGATTTTACGGTTGTTACGGATAAAGTCTTCTTCGCTCATCTTCTTCTTGACTTGCGCGTTGTGTTGATCGGTGTTGAGCATTATTAAGGAATACGAGAGAAGGAGGGCGGCATCTTTATTGACGAGAATATCTGGCGATTGCTCGTAGTAGCTCTCGGCGAAAGCTTCGAGCACTCTTTGTATTTTCTGCGATTCTCCAGGTAATCTGAAAGTTTCCAATAGAATACGAAGAGCAGTGTCCAAATTCATGTCCCGGAAATCGAACGTCCTGGCGAATTCGTGAAGTACTTGCACGGAAAATTCGTCGTGACTTCCCAGAAAATCCCCAATGATATTTTTATCTAATCCAACCGTGTACCTAAAGAAGCATGCCACGCTTCTGGGCTCGAGTTTTTCAGGCAACAAGTTTAACCCTTGAAGGAATTCCAGGCCTTTCTTGGGATCCCTGTTGAAGTGATCAACACCAGCCATCAACTTTCTCTTAATGTTTTTCATGTTATGGACAAACGGGACCCAGTGACGAGGTTCAGCATAATCATCGCATCTCACGGTCCAAAACGACTTATATTCACCGAGATCTGCAGAGGCTTCCCCAGAACCTGATGAATCATGACCTATTCTTTCAGCCATGCCCTGAACCAGAGCAATCAGACCATCCAAAGCAAGAGTGTTCATTGCGGATAAAGGGCTGTTCACCGGAAAAGCACTTCTCGATAAGAGGTTGGCTAGGCCTTCAAATACATTGCCACAGGATATATCGCAATCGTAATTGGCGTACAGCTCGGTAACAAACATAGGCTGCCTACAGAAGTCGGTAATAGCTTCCATAGCAACCTCCTGCAGCTGGTAAGAAGCTCCATACTTACTCTGTGCTACCCTCAACAACACTGAGGAGATGAAAGCTTCAAGCTGTAGCTTTAATTTAGTGCGGAGGTGGTGATAAAGGTTTAGAACTATGCTACAAACTGTTGACAGAATTAGTGGACTCATGGACAATCCAAACTGCATCAAGTTGTAAAACAATTCTTCTTGTATCAGAGATAATAATTTAGGATGGTCAACAAAAGAAGCACCACCTAACTCTATTGCAGAGTTGATCAGCCCCAGAGCAAAAAGAGGAACATCTTCATGATAAGCTATTGGGTTAGATCTAGGACCGAATTCTATGTTCTCCATCACATTTAGGAGAGAGCATAAGAAATTAAATATTTCAACCATTGATGGAACACCATAAGGATCCATCATCGAAGAATCAGCACTTAATGTGCCATCATTTCCATTTACGTTCTCTGCTTTTTTCTTCTCATATTCTGGAGAAGTATACCCATCAACATTTTGCTTCTCCTCAGTAGAGTGACTTTGAGCGGCTACATTATCCTGTAATGGAAAAGGGTGATTACAAAAATTAATAACTTTGAACTATCCACAGCATCTCCAATCAAGCTTGAAGTCTTAAAATTTGGGAAGGCAATAAGTGAGAATACTCTTTTTTTGTGAAAACGGCTTCATGAATTTTCGACACAAGGCATCAGCCATTTTTAAAAGACCATCCTTCAAGATAAACCTAAACAA